ACGACGCGCACGGCCAGGAAGCCGACGACGGCGATGAGGACGACCATGATGAGGATGGGCGCGACGTACTCGTCGACGGCCGCGCCGTCGACGAGGTTCTCCGCGCACGTCAGGAGCATGATCTGGATGATCTCGTTCACCGTCGCCGCCGCGATGATCAGCTGGCCGATGGGCTGGTTCAGCACGGACCCGACCTTGAGCACGTTGAGCGTGATGCCCGTGCAGATGGAGGCCATCGACGCGCCGACGACGAACGCCTTCGTCGGCGGCGCGCCCCACGCGCGCGCGACGAGCCAGGACAGGCCCATGGGCAGCGCGGAGCCGAAGACGCCCACGCCGATGCCGCGCGCGCCGATGATCTCCAGCAGCTCGACGTCGACCATGAGGCCGACTTCCAACGCGTGGAGCACGAGCCCGACCTCGCCGATGACCTTGAGCACCGCCGCGTTGGGCACGAAGTCGAGGAGGTGGGGCCCCAGGATGACGCCCGCGACGATCTCGCCGACGAGCGCCGGGTTCCCGACGGCCGTCGCGGCCTTGCCCGCGACCCAGACGATGATGACGAAGATCACGGTGAAGAAGATGACGTTGAAGTGGTGGAACTCGCCGCCGTGGTGGCCGCCGTGGTCGTCGCCGTGGTCGTCGCCGTGGCAGGGGCCGTGGTCGTCGTCGCCGTGGTCGTCGCTCGCCCCGTAGGCGGCGGCCAGGCACGCGACGAGGCACGCAGCCCGGAGCGCGAGGGACCGGGGGCTCCAGTGCGCCATGGTCGGTTTTTCGCGTCGCAGCCGCTGGTCGTTGTTCTCACCTCTGCGCGGTTATTCGTCCGACCGCGGCAGGCTCCGCGTCGAATCCGGCTTCCTCAGGCAACCATGTCGAATGTGGTGCCGTGACGATTGAGGTCGCGGTGAGGCAACTGAAACCCAAAAATTGATATAAAGTATCTCGGCCGAGTCAGGAGCCGTTGAGTTTGACGCCCGAGCCCCTCTGTCAAGCAAGCGCGAGGTTAGGTAGCGCGTCATCTCCACCGACTCGGATCCGGGACCGGGAGGAGGGGCCTTCCCCCCGCGGGGGGGGAGACCGCGAAACGGCGCGCCGCCGCGGCCGCCGCGTCAATTGGAGGCGAGACCGAGGAGCGCGCTGACGGCGGCGACGACGTCCTTGCCGTCGCCCTTCTTCTTCGGCGGCGCCGCGGCCGCCGCCGCCGGCGCCGCGGCCTCCGCGGGCGGCGGCGCCGCCGGGAGCCGCGCCTCGGGCGGCGGCGCGCGGCCCGGGTCGTAGTCGTAGGGCGGCGCGAAGGGCACGGCGGCGCCCTTCTTCGCGGCGGGCTGCCCGGCGAGGGACGGGTCCCGCGGCCGCTTGCGGGCGTCGTCGCCGCCGTCGTTCGAGGCCGCGGCGCCGTCGCCGTCGCCGCCGTCGGACGCCGCGGCCGCGCCCGGGTCGCCCCCCCCCGGCGACCGCGGGCTCGCCGGCCCGCCGTCGCTCTGGCCGGGCGTCGCGACCTGCTGGCGCGCCTCCTCCTCGCGCTTCTTGTCCGACGTCCGCTCGAGCACGGGGCGGAGCGTGAGCAGGTCCTCGATGTCGGAGCTCATGGGCGTGCCGAGCTTGTGGTAGACCGTGTCGAGCTGGCCGCTGTTGTTGACCACGAAGTGGGCGAACTTGCGGTGGTACCCGAAGTTGTTCAGCTGGCGCTGGAAGGACGCGTAGTTGTTATGCTTGTAGTAGAGCGGCAACGTTTTCTGCGAAGGGGGCCGGCGCGTCGGGCGCGCGACCGGGCGGAGGAGGGAAGGCGCACCTCGAGCTCCCGCGGGTCCGGGATGATGATGTTGCCCATGTCCCACTTGATGATCGTGGGCTCCTCCTGCGGGACGGGCCGCGCGTCGAGCCGCGGCGGAAACGCGCGAGCGCGCGCGCGCGCGCGGCCGGGGCCGCGCGATGTGCGGGGCGGCGCGGGCGCGGGGGCGGCGGGGCCGCGGGCAGGCGGGGCGGCCCGCGCACCTCGATCATCTTCTTGAGCTGGCGCAAGAACGGTATCGTCCGGACCTTATACTTTGGCTGGCGCGACGTCGCCGCCCCTTTCGTGTCGCGCGGCGCGATGGCCCGCAGCGGCGCCCCCTCGGGCCGAATCGGGCCGGGCGGGCCCAGGCTCGGGATCTCCATGCGGGGGGGCGTCGAAGTTCCCCGCTGTTTCGGGCCCTCGGCCGCGACGAAGGCTGGCAAAAAGACACGGATGGTGCTTTCGATGTTGCACTTACTGTTGCTCGGCGCACGGGCCGTGGAGCCCGTGGCGCCCTCGGCCCCGCGACGCGGCGCGGCAACGCGTCCGCGCGCGTCGAAGAACCGCCCCCCCATCGCGCCGTGCGCTGGCGTGCCCAGCCATCGCCGGCGCGGCCGCGCTTTCCGGCGCCGCGGCCGCGCGCCAGTTCCGTTCCAAAGATACTACATAGACACTTGAGTTACGCAGACCTTCTGCGCGGTGTTGCCTCGCGACGTCGTCTTTGACCCGGCCGCGGATACAGGGCTGCCCCTTCGGCCTGGGGCCACGATCTCCTGGGGCCACGATCGGGCTAGTTTACCTCCTGCTTGCCTCGATCTCGCAAAGCTCGACCACCGTGGCAAGCAATGAGGCCGGTCGATCGCGCAAGGCGGTAACCAATAACCAGCACCCATGACGTGTCGACTGCGATGCCTGCTCGCGGTCCTCGCGAGCACGACGGCGCTCGTCGTCCCGCCGGCGCGCCTCAAGACGCGCCGCTCCGTCGCGCCAGCTCAGCGCCCCCCCGCGCCGCTCGCCGACGCCCCGCGCCTCCCGGCCACGGCGACCCTCGCCGCGCGGAGCGCGGCGGCCCCGACGGAGTACGTCGTCTACGAGTCGCGCTGGGCGCACCTCTTCATGCTGAGCCTCCTCGCGTTCGTCAGCGACCTCGTGTGCTTCGCCACGGCCTCGGACCCGGCCGCGTTCAACGTCGCGACGGGCGAGGACGCGGCGCAGGTCATCGACGTCTTCCTCTTCGCCAACGTCTTCTCCTGCTTCTTCTTCACGGACGTGAGCCGCGCGCTGGGGCTCCGGCGGTGCGTCGTCGGCGCCGCCGCGCTCATGGCGGCCGGCTGCGCCTTACGGAGCGGCGTCGCCCTCGACGGCGCGCTGCCGGCCTACTCCCAGATCCTGGCGGGAACGGTGCTCGTCGGCCTGAGCCAGCCCTTCTTCCAGTGCAGCCCGCCGCTCCTCTCCGCGACGTGGTTCCCGCAGAAGGAGCGCGCTCTGGCGACGGCGACGGCGCTCAACGCGAACCAGCTGGGCATCGCCGCGGCCTTCATCGTCGGCGGCTCCATGCCGCTGCCGGCCTACTTCGTGGCCATCACGGCGAGCTCCGTCGCGGCGCTCGCGCTCGTCGCCGTCGCGTTCCAGCGGCGGCCGCCGAGCCCGCCGACGGCGTCCGCGGCGGCCGCGCTGGAAAGGGACTCAGAGAACGACGGCGCGTCCGAGACGGTCCTCGGCCTCACCTACCCCGCGGCCCTGCGGGATCTCATGCAGGTCGACGGCTTCCTCGCGACGAACGCGGCCTTCGTCGCGTCCATCGGCGTGACCAACGTCGTCTCCGCGTTCGCCGGCGAGTCGCCGCGTGGAACTCAAAGCTTCAACGCGACTTCATTGTGCGCGTAATCGAACTGATTGCGCCGTACTCTTCGGCTGTGCTTCGAGAACTCGACGAGAGCACTCGATTCGTCCAAAAATCAGCCGAATCGACTTCGATTTGATCGAGATAGAGAGTTCCGAAGTTTGGTGGGGACCCCCCAAACCAGTGGTTGATGTCCACACAGGCGAGTCGCTGCGGCGCGCGGACTGCCCGGCGTCGGAGCTGATCCTCGTGGGCGCGGCCTTCCAGGTGGCCATCGTCGTGGGCGGCGTCGTGCTCGGCGCCTACGTCGACGAGTCGCGGACGTTCAAGCGGACGACGTTGTTGTGTTTGGTCACGGCTCTGAGCTGCATCTTCACGCTCGGCGTCGCCGAGGGCTACGACGTGGACCTGCCGAACGTGTTGGTGGTTGCCGTGCTCTTGATTCTGGGCGCGGTGATCGGACCCGTGCAGCCCATCAACGCGGAATTAGCGGTGGAAGTGTCGCACCCGGCGGACGAGAACGCGGTCGAGGCGACGCAGCAGCTCAGCGGGAACCTGTTGTCTGCTCTATTGGTCCCGCTCTACCAGATGCTCGCGGTCTACGACGTCAACTTCGTGCCTACGGACGGCACGCCGCACCGCGCGTTCGGCTTCTCGCGGAACGTCTTCGGCGGCGTCTCGGGCCTCGCGGACCAGCCCCGCGACGCGGTCCGGGGCCTCACGCTCGCCGAGCCGCCCTTCATCCACCACGCCGTCGACATCCGCGGCGACGACCTGCTGCTCATGTCGCTGCTCTTCGGCGCGTTCGTCTTCTTCTCCCGGTCGACGTTCGAGCTCCGCCGCTCCGAGGTGGACCAGGGCGGGGCCGTGGACCTGAGTCGGAACCCGAACCGGCTTTAGCGGGATGCGGGTGGGGGATCTATTAAGCAAAAAATCGCAGCCGGTCTTCACTGGGACGTCGTGCCCGAGACGTAGTGGGGGAAGCGCGGGTCCATGCCCTCGTCCATCTCGTAGGGGTCCGCGCAGAACGCCGTCTTCCGCGGGTCGCTGAAGGGCGCGATCTCCTTGCGCGCCCGCGGGTCCTCCTCGTGGTCGTCCTCGGAGAAGCCGTCCTCCGGCGTCGCGGGCTGGATGACGTGGAAGACGGGCGGCGTGGCCTTTGTTGCCTTGGGCTTGACGACCGCGGGCGTCTTGGCCGTCGCCGGCGGCGCGACGATGGTGACGATGGGCGGCTTGGGCTTCGGCGGCGAGCGCGCGGGCGCCGCCGGGGGCTCGGGCTCCGGCGCCCTCGGGGGCGTCGCCGGCTTCGGCGGCTCCGGCGCCTTCGGGGGCTCGGGCTCGGGCGATCCCGCGGGCGACAGGGGCGCGAAGAAGTCGTCCAGCGACGCGACGCGCGGCGACGTCGCCGGCGCCACCGGCGGGGGCGGCGGCGGCGCCGCGACGAGGGGCTTGGGGAGGAAGTCGCGCATCTGGCGCGGCGTCGCCGCTAACGGGGGCGGCGCGTCGCCGTCGTCGAAGACCTCCACGAGCAGAAACTCGTCGACGACGTCGAGCTCCACGACGTCGCGGCCGAGGCGGTCGACGCCGCGGCGCTTCAGGGCCTTGGCGCTGCGGTACGCGTTCGCGTCGAAGCCGCAGCGCTGGATCGGGTTCGCGCAGCACCCGGCCTTGGGCTCGTCGTCGAGCGTGTCCGCGACGATGTCGAAGCCCTCCTGGAGCGCGCGCCCGGCGACGCGGCCCGTGGCCCGCGCCGCGGCCTTCGCGCGGTCCAGGGGCGTCGGCCGGCTCGCGGGCGTCGCGGGCGACCGCCGCGCCGCCGCGCGGAACGGCGGCGGCCGCGGCGGCCGGTCCGGCCGCACGACGCGCTCGAGCTCCTGGCTCGAGTCGTTGAGGCGCACCTTGACGGAGACGGCCTTGAGCTCCGCGGCGACGGCGAGCTCGCGGCCCAGGCGCCGCGCCTCGCGCTCCGCGTCCTTGGCGCGCGCCTTCGCCTGGAGGAGCTCGTCGTAGATGGGCTCCAGGGCCGAGCTCACGCCGCCCTGGTCGGCCTCCGCGGCGAGCTCCGCCTCCCGGAGCTTCTCGACGACGGCGTCGTGCTCGCGCTGGAGCCGCGCGTGGGCGTCGCGCAGCGCCGCGGACCGCGGCGACTCCACGGACTCGTCGGCGGACGACACGCCGCCGTCGATGGTCTCCTGCAGCTGGCGCGTGTACCGGCGCAGCTCCTTGAGCTTCGCCGCCGAGTCCGGCGGCGGCCGGCCCGCCTC